GCAGCAGCAGCAACAGCAACAGCAACAGCACCAAGGCGTAAGGAGGCGCAGACTGGATGCAGGCGATTGTTTGCGGAGCGCGTAGATTGAAGAGTTGGCGCAAAAGAGTCGCAACAGCTGCAGCGCTTGGCCCGGCCCTGCAGCCTTGCACGGCCAAAGACCAACACTCAAACTCGATGCGCACGCCTTTGCTGGGCTGTTTGGTCTGAGCCTCCACCACCCAATGCGCAGCTCCCAATTTGGCAGGTCGCGGGAGGCAGCGGCTGTTGATCCCCTCCTGCACGTCGCCGCACGCGGCGCCCATCGAAAGGGGCTTTGGATGAATTTCCTGTCTTGTTTCGCCCGGCTACGTATTTTGCCCTCGATTTCACGCACCGACGCGAGACCAGCTGAAACAGGCACCAACGCCGCCGCATCCATCGCTTCCGCCTCGGCGCCACCCGCTTACCGCTTCTAGAGTAGCTTGGCTGCGGCATCCTGCTTACGACCAACGCTCTGCAGATCCGCACCGGGATTGTCGGGGTGCATTGATGCGCCTCCATGAAGCTCCCGGCGCCACGTCCGCTCAAATTAAAGCTGCCGGTCTGGAGCGTAGGGTCTCAGTCGCGCCTCGATGGGCCATATCCGACGGATGCTTTGCAGTGCGCCGCTTCAGCAAATGATACAGTCCTCGGACACCTTGAAGCCAAAGATCTCGTGGTCGATCTGCTTCTCGATCTGTCGAAAGTCGGTGCGGCTCTTGAGAAACTCGTAGAGCTCCTCCTGCCCAAACGCAAAGCCGTCCTCGCGCGCCGACGCCCGAGCCGACGTGGCTGCCGCATCCTTGTTCTTGAGCAGCGAGATGAGCTCCTTGCCGTCCACAATGTAGTAGTTGGCCAGCGTCTTGAGCGAGTTGTAGAATCTGGGGATGTCGGGCTCTTTAGACTTGAGCGAGGCGATGAACGCTGCAATGTGGTTCAGATCCGAGATCAGCTGGAAACCACCCGTCTGGCTGATCTGAAGCGACTTGAGGTGCTTGGTCAGGATGCCAAACAGCCGCAACGCCACCTCGGTGTAGAAGAGGTCCAGGATCTCCCGGTCCGTCGCACCCACCAACAGCGAGCAGTGGAAGCGCAGCAGCTCGATCGTCGAGCGTGTGGCGCGTGTCGAGCTGTCCAGCTCGGTCATCCTCGTCATGTCTTGGCCTGCATAGTCGAGTGGATCCCGCTGCGAGAAGAGGATCCATTCGGCCCTCTTCATCAGCAGATCCACCGACACCGATAATCCGCCCGCCACAAACTCGTCCAGGCTGCCTTCAAACGCCTTTTTGGCGCGCACCACCGAGTTGAGAAAGTCGTCCACATCCAGCTTGATCACCGGCACTAGCGTCTGCGAAAAGTACACCGAGCACAGCTGCGAAATGGTATCGGCAATGTGCGTCAGCTCGAAGAACTGCACGAGCGGCAGCACCTCGGCTGCAGGCTGCTCCTTTCCCGCTTCCGCTCCCGACCCAGCGCCATTCGACGTGCCATCTCCGTCCGACAAGGGATTCCACTGCTTGATCTGATCCGTCGCCTTGTTGAACCCCGGCGCGATGTGTTCTTCTCCCAACACCTGGAACAAGGACAGACAGACCTCCTCCATCTCCTCCTTGACGCGTCGCCCGTTGGACGTGGAATCGGGATACACCATGAACGCTTCCATCCTCTTGAGAGACTCGCGGTTCACCTGGATCAGCGCGAGGGCCGTGTCGAGCGACAGCAGCAGCTGCAGCCTGCCAGGCCGGTACGGCTGGTTGTCTGTAGAGGAAACTGCTTCCACTTTGGACTCCTGTTCCGAGACCGACGCTTCTGTGATCGTTTTTGGGGCTGCAGCACGAGGCTCGAGCTGCGAGTCTCCGCTTGCTGTTCCCCATGCATGGCCGTTGACGCCAGATCCCTTCTCGTTCCATTCGTCCTGGAGGCTATCACCGGGGAAGCTTGCCATATTTCGCGGCTTCTCGTTGGTCGAGGATACTAGCGCGTCTTCCTGATCGCTGTCTTCGTCGTCGCCAATGATGTGGCCGTCGGGGCCGCCAAGCACCTCTTTGCTAAAGTCTACGTATCCGTTGTTGGCCGTCGTCTCGCTTGGGTTGGAAGCATTGGCCGGGGTCGATGCCCGTTGTGGCGTAGCGAGAGCAGAGCCGGACGCACTGGCGACGCGTGCGCCGCTCGAAGCGCCCTGCTGCCACTTGAGCGGGTTGAGCTGACTGAGTCCAGTGCCTGCGGTGCGAATGACCGCGCCACCGACAGCTCCGGCTGCGCGAGGCACCACGGTGACGGGCATCAGAAGCACGTCCTTGAACCCGCTGAGCACGTTGCGCTTGACCTGCGCTGGATTGTTGCTGGCCAAGAAGGCCGCATCCATGGTCTTGGCAGCTTTGACGCGCGATACCGAGGTCCTCGTGCTAGATGCAGCCCCGGACGAGGATGTTTCGCCTCCTTCGGAGCACAGGTCCATCATCGCATTGCGCACCCAATCGCGCTCTTCCTGGAGATACTCGTCGAGGTGCGCCTCGAACATGGACAAGACGATGGCGCGACATCGTGCCGGTGTTACTGTGTCGGAATGACGAGGCTCGATCTTTTCGAGCGTATCGACGATCTTGAGAGCCTGCGAGAAGGTGGCCGCCGCTGCTTGGAGGTAGAGATGGATGTCGATGGATCGTGCCTTGGCGAGGACAGCGATGATGTACTCGCCGAGGACCTCGTTGGCGATGCGGCTGGCGAAGGTGAGCAGGACCTGCTGCTCTGGCGGGAAGACGCGCGCGACGAGCGAGCCTTCGGTCTGCAAGGTCTGCAAGAGCTCGGTCATGAAGGCATCCATGGCGGTAAAGTCCAAAGCTGGGCGGGTCTGGTTGGACGCAGTGACAAAGTTGGCTTCCGGTCGATGGTCGGTGGGTCTGAAGACGGCATCGCGCTTCTCGAGGAAGCTGAGGGCTGCAGCGGAGCCTGGATGATCGAGGAGATCCATGTAGTTGGCGGTGTCGGCATCGCCTGCTGCAGAAATGGCGCTGCCCGACGAAAGCGAGGATGAGCCTGAAGTGTGGACTGCCAGGTTCCAAACGAGGTCTGCGTGCTCGTGCATGTCGCTCTCTGCGCGCTCGATGGCTTTGGACACGTCGATTCCCCTCTGCCCAGCGCGCAGGGCGTCTGCGCGGCGAGCGTCTGCGCCCTCGAATGCCGAGAGCAGGACGCCTTCTAGGTAATCGGCGGCTTCTCTGATGGGCATGCGCAGCCTCCATTGGTCCTGATCGCGTGTGTCGGCTGCAAGGCTTTGCGAGTCGTTGGATGAGACTTGGTGATCAGCAGGCTTTGCGAAGGATCCGAGCACGAGCGGGCCGGTGAAACGCGCCACATTGCAGACCGTGCATGCCTGCGAGGGAAGCGAAGATAAGCTCGGGTCGGTAAAGATGAGAGACACGGTGGGGGATGATTCGAAGAGGAGGCTTTGAACGAACGGCTTGAGGGTCAGAGCGACGCGCTTGAAGGTTTGATAGGCCGAGTCGGTCTCTGCACTGGGCATGGGCAGTTTAGACTCTGCGCGGTACGAGAAGACAGGTGCGGAGGAGAAGCTCTGGCCGGACTGCGCCGGCTTGGAAGAGATGAAGCCGCCAAAGGATTCATCTTCAGGGCTCGTGATTGTGGCTGCTTCAAAGTCGCCAAAGTCGTCGTCGTCTTCGTTGCCGTTCGAATGGCTGGAAGTGCTGTGTTTCCGCTCTGGTGGTGATGAAGCATCTTTGGATTTGCGGGACGAGGAGGAGGCTATTGTAGAAAGGTCCGGTTGGTAGCGGATGTGACGTCCGGGAATCTGCCTGTACTGCAAGTACGCAAGCTTCTGCGCCCAGAGCCTCTCGTCGGCGACGAAGCGGGCGAGCGGACGAGCTGCGAGCGCACAGCTTCGTAAGTCCGAAACGGGCACGAAGCTGAGGATGCGTTGGATCACCGTCGAGGGAAGTGTACCGATGGAAAAGGGGTCAAGCGAGACATCGTTGACGTTGGCGTTGGGCGCGGTGCCACTCTCTGTGCCGCCGCGAGAGGCAGAGATGCTGAGTCTGTCCTTGCTGAGGACGTTGGCCAGTCCGAGCGAGCCGGGGCCGGAGCCGGTCGCCTTGGATGTAGGCACCAGCGGGGCCCAGGTGGTGTCCATGGTGATTCTCGCTGCGTGCGGTTGGGTGCAGGTCTCTCACTGAATCGACATTGAGGCGAAAGTTCCGTCCTTGTGGAAGCGGAAGTGCCGTCGACAGTGGCCAGGTGCGGAAGTCGATGAGTCGACGATTGTGGTGATTGAGGCGGATGAGGAGGCCGGCAGGTGTTGAACTTAGAGCTTGGTCTGTCACCCTGTCCGCTCCTCCACTTGCGGTCGTGGAAGAGCTGCGTGTGTCGGCAGAGGGACGAGGCTGCGGACCTGCGGGTTAGAGGCTGCCGGAAAATCCGACGCACGGCCAAATTGGTCACAGGCTCATCATCCCTTCGTCTCTCCCCTCTCCAGACCAACGACTTGCCTCCGACCGCACATCTTCAGCACTCGGTCGAATGAGTCGGAACATCCTGTCGACACACCGCTGATCCAGCTCGGCAGTGTGTCGCCGCGACCTTCCTTCGGAGATGCCGCCCAAGACGGCCGCGTCGGGGCGTGGACGCTCGCAGCACACGCGCAATTCGTCCATCACATCGCAGCGAGACAAGGACGAGGGCGAGCCGTTCCACCCAGCAGCGGATGCCGCCACATTTCGAGATCTGCTCATCTTTGAGGAGCGTCTGAAGCAGAATGCCGCACGACTGCAGGCTCGCAAACGCAAGTACGAGCTGCTCCTGGCTGGCTTTGTCGGATTCATCCTGTGCCTGTCGCACTTTGTCGTCGTCTCGCCGCGCTCCTCGGTGTTTCTGCAGTACAGCCTGGCCGCAGTGCTGATGATCTGCCTCACCACACTCTTCCTCTTCTTTGCCAGCGGTATGCATGCGGAACGCATCCGATCCGCCAACAAGTTTGTCCCGCAGGCAAATCGAAGTTTGCGCAGCTTCAACATGTATCTCAACACGCGCACCTCGGCTTCCTCGCGGTGGTGGTCCCTCCGTCGGTTGCTCCGACCCGATCAAACTGCCAAATCCACATCGAACGAGACTGGTTCGTTGGTCAGCATGGTTGACAAGGCACTCAGCCGAGGAACGACCATGTCGAAATCTTCGTCGCGTCTGTCGAGCGGAGCATCGAGTCCGCGCAGAGCTGCACTCTCTTCGATCCCGCCATCGCAGAACAGCAGGGGCGAACTCATCTTTAGCAATCGCGTCAGTCCCGACTTTCGCGAAGGCTACGAGCGGTATCGTGCGGCGTTTGAGCGGCGAAGGGCCGAAAAGATCGCAGCCAAGCGCGCCCAGTCGTGGAAGAGGTGGTTCGACTACCTGCTTGCGCGCAACTCGACCCAGCCAGCCGACGACTCCACAGCCAAGCGCACGCAGGCACGCAGCTCCCGTCCGAGCGCAGCACATTCGCATCCCACACGCAGCTCGAAACATCGGCCTGCGCGGTCGGGACAGTCGACCACCCAGCCCGATTCCGGCAACGAAATGGCTGCAGCTTCAGACGATGCCGCCCCGCTCCACAGCCTCAATGCTCACGGCGAGGATCTCAGCGAAGGCGGCTTGAGCGACGATGGCTATCCCCCGTCCATGGCCTCCGGCTCCTCGTTATCCGGTCACGAACCAACATAAACGGGCACTACACAAATGCTAATCGTTCATACGCCGTGCTGCATTGATTGCTTTGTCGTCTTTTTTTGGGGGTAGGGATGAGTCGATGTTTTGAGCCTGTGTGGCTTTACTGCTTGGTCGCCTGGACGGCTTCGGAGATGACCGCCTCGGGTTTGGAGATGTTGCTGAGAGCCGAGAGCACCGCCTTGAGCGAGGCGGTGGTGATGTCGACGTCGATGCCCACACCCCAGAAGCCTTGCGCCTTCTTCTCGCCCACCTGCTCCTTGTGTGCTGGGTCGATGAGCTCGACGTACGACGCCGCCTGCGCCTTGGAGCCGTTGCCGCGTGCGCTGCTCGAGGTGTTGGTGCCCGTCTGGAGGCTGGACGACTTGGTGATCGCATGCTCGCTGTACTCGCGGATCTCGGCCTTGAGGCCAAACGTCGACTCGACCGCGTCGATGAGCGCCGAGAGCGCACCGTTGCCCGTGCCCGTGAGCTCGTGCACCTTGCCCTCGTGCAGCACCTTGCCCGTGAAGCGGCGGTGGCGCGGCGTGTGCAGCCCCGAGCCGTGCTCGTCCTCCGAGGTGATGCTGCTCGACAGGTCGTCCGAGAGCGAGTAGCCGCGCAGCGCAAAGCGGCCCTCGTTGCGTCCGGCCTCGAGCGAGGCGAGGTGGTAGGTCTGCGTAAAGATGCGCGTGATGTCGTCCGAAGTCATCTCCTTGCCCGTGCGGTCGGCCACCTCCTGGATCACCTGGTAGAACGCCACCTGCATCCTGCGCGGCAGGNGGTAGGTCTGCGTAAAGATGCGCGTGATGTCGTCCGAAGTCATCTCCTTGCCCGTGCGGTCGGCCACCTCCTGGATCACCTGGTAGAACGCCACCTGCATCCTGCGCGGCAGGTCGAGGCCCAGGCTCTGCGCCACCAGATACGCCACGCCGCCCTTGCCCGACTGCGAGTTGACGCGGATGACGGCCTCGTAGGTGCATCCGAGGTCGAGCGGGTCGATGGGCAGGTAGGGGATCTCCCACGTGTTGTCGCCCTCGGCGATGCGCTTGGTCTGGGCGGCGAAGCCCTTCTTGATGGCGTCCTGGTGGCTTCCGGAGAAGGCGGTGAAGACGAGGTCGCCGGCGTAGGGGTGGCGCGGGTGGACGGGGATGTCGTTGCAGCCGCTGACGACGTCGACGACGCTCTGGATGTCCGAGAGGTCGAGCTGGCCAGGCTGGATGCCCTGGGAGAACATGTTGAGGGCGAGGGTGACAATGTCGACGTTGCCGGTGCGTTCGCCGTTGCCAAAGAGGCAGCCTTCGACGCGGTCGCCACCGGCGAGCATGCCGAGCTCGGAGGCGGCGACGGCGCAGCCGCGGTCGTTGTGCGGGTGGAGCGAGACGATGACCGAGGCGCGGTCGGAGATGTTGGTGCAGAAGTACTCGATCTGGTCGGCGTAGTGGTTGGGCGGGCCGACCTCGACGGTGGCGGGGAGGTTGAAGATGATGGGGTTGTCGTGCGACGCCTTGCCCCACGCCGTGCGCACCTCTTCGCAGATCTTGACGGCAAAGTCCATCTCGGTCTGTGTGAAGGTCTCGGGCGAGTATTCGTACTTGAAGTTGGTGCCGCCGTTTTCGGGCTTGGAGTAGTGGTCTACGAGCTCGCGAACGATCTTGGTGTGCTTGACGGCGAGGTCGATGGTCTGCTCTTGCGAGTTGTTGAAGACGACGTTGCGGAAGAGGGGCGAGGAGGCGTTGTACATGTGGAGGATGACGTTCTTGGCGCCCTTGATGGACTCAAAGGTCCTGCGGATGAGCTCCTCGCGCGCCGGGGTGAGCACCTGGATGTAGACGTCGTCGGGGATCATGTTGTTCTCGATGATGTGGCGCACGAAGCCAAAGTCGGTGTCCGAGGCGGAGGGGAAGGCGACCTCGATCTCCTTGAAGCCGACCTCGACGAGCTTCTGGTAGAATTTGAGCTTCTGCTCGCCGGACATGGGGTTGATGAGCGCCTGGTTGCCATCGCGAAGATCGACCGAGGTCCAGATGGGTGCCTTTTGCTGCACCTTTGTGGGCCATGTGCGGTTGGGAAGATCGATGGGTTTGTACGGTTTGTACTTGTCACCTGGGATCATGGGCGCCATGGTGAAGAGAGTTGCTTGTGGTGGTCTGCGGGTGGTATCAGAGTCGAATGGGAAGTGCGGCGGCAGACTGGTGGGAACGAGTGAGTGGCTTTGGTGGGAAGAAGAGAAGACTTGAAGACTGAGCCGTTTCAAAGACTCCACTCGAGGCTCCGGCATGCGGATCGAGACCTTCGGGCCAACGGTGCGGGAGAGGTCCAAGCGCCATCGTTAGGCACTGCGCCTGTCATGAGCCGTCTGCAGAGCTCTCGCTGAGGCTCGTGATTAAGAGAAAAGATTTATTTAAAAGATGCAAAATAAAAATTAGCGTGACTCGAGCGGTCCATTCCGAAGGCTGCAGTCCAGTCACATCTCATTTGTTGCGCCTCTCTCTCTCTCCCACCCTCTCTCGAGCTCACGGCAGAGAAGCTCCGAAGAGGCTGTGACTTAGGCTCACAAGTCTAGCTCGGAAGGCAAAGGATCACAATTTCGCATGCATTGCGTGTGGATGACGAGCGTTAGGCAGTGGCAGGCGGTTTGGAGACATCAAAGTGGACACCCTCCTGCACCTTTCCGTCGGCGGTCTTGATGGTGATGGTGCCGTCTTCGTTGCCAAAGTAGGCCGACTTGCAGATGTTGCAGAAGAGGCCGACCTCGACGACGCCGGTGAGCAGCTTGATGCGCATGAGCAGGTCGGAAGGGTCCTTCATCTGCGCCTCGGGGAAGGGTGCGTCGATGCAGAAGTTGCCGTTGTCCGTGACTACGGGTCCGGCCTTGGCCTTGCCCATGCGCAGCACAGCCTGGTCGGATCCCATCTTCTTGAGGTTCTGCAGCACCTTGGCGTATGCGAACGGCGTCACTTCGATCGGAATGCCCTGGAGCCACTTTGTGCCGAGCTGCGAGCCGTTCTTGCGGTAGTCGGCAACCACGACGAACTCGTTGGCCGCCTCGGCAAGCACCTTTTCGCGCAGCTGGCATGCGCCGCCACCCTTGATGCAGTTGAGCGCGTTGTCCACCTCGTCAGCACCGTCAATCGTCACGTCAATCGCCGGGAAGCTGTCCACATCGCCAAGACGCAGACCGGCGTGGATGATGAGCTCTCGCGACTGGAAGCCCGTGGGCACGAACCAGCGCTTGGCGTTGACCTCGGCGCCCTGCTGGGCGATGCGCTCGACCACGTACGGCACCGTCGATCCTGAATAGCAAGGCAAGCGTGTCAGCTGCAGAAAGCCAGGGTGCCGGAAGTTTGGCCGACTACTCACCTGAGCCGATGCCGATGATCTCGTGGTGCGGGAAGACGTGGTTGTCGACGGCAGCGTAGGCGGCTGCGCGCTTGGCGGCTTCCACGCCAGTAAGCTGGGCCAGTTCGGTGCTCTTGAAAGCGGATGAATTCGAGTTGGCAGCGTGCGCCGCCGTTGCGGAAGTGGTGGATGCCATATTGCGTGGACCGGATCGAAGGCTCAATCGAAGTGGAGGTGCGATTCGCGGGGAGAGCAGCGGCCGAGGTGAAGCAACGACGGAGAGACGTTGAAAGCAAGTCGCAGAGGGCAAGTTGGATGGACGAAGGAGAAGACGCATGGACAAGCGCAACAAGTTACTGCAACGTCAAAGAGCGAGGAGGGTCGGCAGCGCAAGAAGCAGACTCACGCTCCGGCCATCGAATAGTGTCGGTGGGGCCGCCGCATCAGCACGCTCTGCACGTCCGCTAAGCACGTTGACGTCGGTCGACTCCGACTCTTCCGCACCGGCAATGGATGCACTTGCATCTGCTTATGTCAGCAACACATAAGCTCTCTCAGCTCTGAGCTCTTCGCCCCACCGTCAGGGTCTCGTCTGGAATTTTTTCGTTTTTGAGTCCCTTCTTGCTTCGTGGAGGAGAATTTTTCGAGAGGCGCCGGCACCAGGCACCAGAGCCAAGGCAAGTCGAGCGGCGCGAAAAAGGGCCCTGACCTTCTTCACACAGTCAGCCGTGCTACACACACTAGTCAAGGCAAGGCTCGCTCAACACAGCACCTCCTGCGTCTTTCTCTCCGCCTTCCTTCTTCCAACCAGACGCATCGGAAGAGAGCCACAGCATCCGACACGGGGGCTACGTTACTCTGCGGTCGACTGTCTCTCAACCTTGCAGCGCTCATCCGACCGGACGTACCCGCAACGGTTTCGATCAGCTCCGTGACACATCCTCACTGGCCCACCTTTCCTGCTCCGCTCCCAAGGGCTGATCACGCGGACTCTTGAGCGTTCGTCCACCATGGCCTCCATCGACATGGACGCTTCGGCCGCGGCTGCGAGCCTCGACAGCCTGCACAGCGCCTTCTCCAAGATCCGCCACCACACCAACTCCAAGCTCGAAAACCAAAAGGGCCCCGCACAGCTCCTCGTCGCTGTCGAGGCCACTCTCGCAGAGCAGGACTCCACAAAGGGCACCACTTCGGCGACTGGCGCGGCTGCTTCCCAGCATGCTGCTGCCAACCGCTCGCCTGCCGAGTACTTTCTCGCGCTCGAATCCATGATGGAGATGGCAAAGTCGGCGTCGGCCCCGTCGTCGCTCCTCAGCAACGTCTTCTACCTGCTCTCCATCGTGGCGCCTCACGTATCGCCAGGCATCCTCCGCGCAAAGCTCTCGTCCATCGTCCCAGCCGTCGGCAAGCTCCTCAGCACGCCTCACCCCACCACCTTCAACGTCAACGACACCACCTCGGCCGAAACCTATGCATCCACCCTCAAGTCCGCCCTCGGCATCCTCCAGGCAATCTACTCGGCCTTCCAGTCCGACGTCTCGGCGCTCGAGACCGACGTCCCTCTGAGGTCCTGCTGGTCCGCAACGCTCAACCTCTGCGCCGACTCGCGCCCAAAGGTTCGTCGCCGCGCACAGCTCCTCATCACCTCCATCCTCCCCACCACCGCAGCCGCCTCGGTCAAGCCATACCACCCCTACCTCAAGCTCACCTTTGACTGGATCATCTCCACCCTCGCCCACGTCGCCGATGCAGGCTCCGTCTCGTCGTCCAAATCCAAGAACAAGAAGGACGACCCCTTGCATCCCAAGTACGACAAGAAGTCCGGCACCGCCAAGCAAGCGCAGGCCGCTGCCGCTCTCCGTCAGAACCAGGGCGACACTGCTTCCGTCGGCATCTGGGTCTGCGGCTTTGCAAAGCAGATGATCAACATCCTGCCCCTGCCTCAGGTCGACGACCTCGTTGCCGCCCTCCTCCGACTGCCCGGCCTCCAGAACCCTTTCCTCACCGTCGCCGCTTTCGACGTCTTCGAGGCATTCCTCAAGGCATGCAGGCCCAGCATCGCATCCGGTGTCGCTCAGGCAGATGCTCTCCTCATCCAGTCGCACGTCACCTCGTCTCCGAGCAGCATCGGTGAAAAGACGCTCGCCAGCCTCCTCGACTCGCTCCGCTCACCCGCCTTTGTTCCGTCGAGCTCGGATGCGCAGCTCCTTCCGGCCTATCTCCGAGCGCTCGAGCACGCCGTGTCCGCCTACTCTCGCTTCGACAACGGCGCTCCAGCTTGGCGCCTCGCCCCTCAGGTCTGGACCGACGTCATCGCCCTCGCCATGTCGGACAAGTCGGATGCCTCTCGAACCGCACCCGCCGTCCGCGCAGCCGGACGCGACTGTCTGATTGCGCTCCTCCGCTACTGCGTCCCCGACTCCGCCATCCAAGACGCAATCAAGGCCTCCTTCTCCAAAAAGAAGGCCACCGACGCCCCCTTGCTCGACATGATCCAGTCTCTCGAGGACGCCCTCGGCAAGGATGCGCTGCAATTCATGCATGCCCGCGCAGAGATCCTCTCCGTCCTCGCCTCGCTCATCTCCAGGCTTCGCTACCACTACGTCCCCAAGACGCAGCCGCCTCATCCCGCCGCCGCCTCGCTCGCCATGCACATCGTCCAAACCGTCGCAGAGCTCCGACAGCAGACCCACTTTGAGCACCGCGAGTACGCCGACACCGTCATCGCTGCTGCCGTCGAGGTCTGCGGCCCGCGTCTCCTGCTCGAGGCTCTGCCGCTCAACCTCTTTGGCGAGGCCGAGGGTCCTGGCCGTGCATGGCTCCTCCCGCTCATCCGCACCAAGATCAACAACACCGAGCTCAGCCACTTTTCAGGCGACCTCGTCTCGCTCTCCGAGAAGATCTTCACCAAGCGCCAGGAGGCCGAAAACGACGCCCGCCCCGTCGAGGCAAAGATGTACGAGGCGCTCACAGAGCAGATCTGGGCCCTCTTCCCCGCCTACTGTGCGATGCCCCGCGACCTGCTTTCGGCCTTTACGCGCCAGTTTGCAGAGCTCCTCACCAACGTGCTCTACACCCAGTCCAACCTGCGGCCCTCCATCTGCCGCGGTCTCCAGGCGCTCGTCTACCGCAACGAGGCGCTCGTCTCGTCTGGCGCGCCCTCCGACTCGCTCAAGCACGCCTTTGGCCTCGACCAGGTCGACGGCAAGGCCAACATTGCGCATCTCTCCGCCATCGCTCCCAACCTCCTCGCCGTCCTCTTCAACGTCTTCTCCCAGTCGCCCGGTGAGGGTCGCGGCTTCGTCTACGACACCATCGTCGCTTACCTGCGCGTCATGTCGCCCCAGGACATCCAAAACACCTACCTCAAGGTCAAGACCACGCTCGAGCAGTCGCTGCCCACGCTCTCCACCAAGCAGAAGCGCAACCAGAAGGAGAGCACCACCACGCCCCCGCCCGTGCCCTACACCATGCTCGACCTCATCTCGGCGCTCATCCCGCACCTGGACAAGAGCGCAGGTGGTCCGGCCGCCGATCTCTTTGAGCTCATCTGCCAGGACAGTGTGCTCCGCTCGCACGACTCGACGGTGCAGAAGAAGAGCTACCGCATCCTGAGCCGACTGCTCGAGGGTGATGCCGGCAAGCAGATCCTTCTCGCTCCCTCGGCCGGCAGTGCCAAGGCCTCCAACCGCGTCGGAGAACTGCTCGACAAGCTTCGCGAGTCGACTGCCAGCGTCGCGCTCGGAGCCAAGCGTGACCGTGTGCTCTTGCTGGCCACGCTCGTCCCCAACATCCCCTCCGACGAGCTTCACCACTTGCCCAGCATCATCCCCGAGGCCGTGCTTGCCACCAAGGAGGTCAACGCTCTCACGCGCCAGAATGCCTACGAGCTGCTCGTCCAGATGGGCTACAAGATGGAGCAGGGCGGTTCTATCAACCGCGGCCTGGTCGAAGGCCATGGCGCTGCTGCTGGTGCAGATGAAGAAGCGGAAGACGACAGCGAGATGGCTGATGCCGGTGTGGTGTCCGCCTCCATCAGCGAGTACCTCACCATGGTCGCCGCCGGTCTTGCCGGAACAACGCCCCACATGATCAGTGCTACGATCACCGCGCTCTCGCGTCTGGTGTACGAATTCAAGGAGACGCTGGAGCAGGGCGTGCTGGACGAGCTGCTGAGCACGATCGAGGTGTATCTGCAGTCGGCCAACCGCGAGATCGTCAAGTCGGCCATCGGCTTTGTCAAGGTGGTCATTGTCGACTTCAACACGACGCTCATCGACTCGCACCTGCCCAAGCTCATCCCTGCGCTGCTCGGATGGTCGACCGAGCACAAGCAGCACTTCAAGGTCAAGGTGCGCCACATCTTTGAGAGGCTGCTGCGTCGCTTTGGCTTCGAGCGCATCTACGCGCTCACCGACGAGGACAACCGCAAGCTGATCAACAACATCCGCAAGCGCAAGGAGCGCGCCAAGCGCAAGAAGGCGAATGCGGCGGCCGAGCGCGAGGCAGGCGCGCTGGGTGAGGACGACGATGACGAGCCCGGTCTCGCCCCTCGCATCCTCAAGACCAAGGGTGGCAACGATGCGTTCGAGGAGGTTGTCTACGGATCCGAATCCGACATTTCGGATTCCGAGGACGACGACGAGGATGCCGAAGCCGACAACGATCGCAAGGGCGGCACTGCTGCGGCACTCAACCGCAATCGCCAGCGCAAGAACGGTGGCGACGACGACAAGTCGGGCCGCGCCAATCGTCGCCGTGGCAAGCAGCAGGACGAGGCGTACATCGAGGCGGACGACGATGACGATGTGCCGATGGACCTGTTGGATCGCAGTGCCACTGCACGCATCTCGCTCTCCAACCCCAACGCCAAGGACGCTGGCCGCGGACGCAACAAGAAGCGACAGCCTGGCCAAGAGGCGAGCAAGTTTGCGCTTGATGAGGCTACGGGCCGCATGCTCATCGACGACGACGAAGATGCATCTGCAAGGCAAGGTGCTGGCAAGCGCGTCTCGTTTGCAGATGGTGGTGCCGATGCTGGACCGATCGATGTGGAAGGTGCTGGAACCGCCTACATCAACCAAGGTCGTGGTGTGGACGGCATGTCCCAGGTGCGCGGTGGCGCTGTCAAGTTCAACAAGAACAACAAGCGAACGCGCGAGGCGGAGCGCGAGATGGAGCTCGAGCAGATTGCGCTCGAAGAGGCTCAGGACCGGGTGCGACAGGTGCAGAGCGGCAAGCCGGCCCAAGCGGACAAGAAGAAGCGCGTCAAGGAGGCCATCGGCAAGGAGTTCCGTGCCAAGCGCGGTGGAGGCGATGTCATTCGAAACGGCAAGAGCCCCTACGCCTACGTGCCTCTCAGCCAGGTGGCGGGCAAGAAGGCGGGCAAGGGCGACAACGTCTCGTACACGGGCAAGGGCGACAAGAGCCGCAAGCGTCGCTAGCCGTCCGCGACGGGCGTGAATGTCCAGCTTTATCATGATTTGTATATACGCAAGTGCTTAAGAATCTGTTCAGCGGAAAAGAAAAACTTGACCCCGAGGTTGCGATGCTGAGGTTGCTGAGGTTGCGGGTCTTCAATCGTCCAGGTCGAAGCTGAGGCCTTTGCCTGACTTGGCTTTGAGCTTGCGTGCCTCGGCATTTTTGAGCTTGCGCTTGCCTTCCTTTGTATTGGTGTCCTGCTTGGGAGTGTGGTTGGTGGATGCTTTGGCTTGCCGATCCTCGCGAATGAGCTGCTTGACGTGATCGAGGCTCGTGTCGCCGCGTTTCGCGCCCTCTTGTAAGCTGTGCGGATCGAGTGCGGTCGATACTGAGTCCGAGGCGGCTCCTCCAGTGACGGGCTGCCGCCTCCGTTTGAGTGCGGAACTGTTGCTCGCCGATGAGGCGATGTTTTGAGACGAGTTCGAAGGAGCGGGGCTCTTTTGCGCAAGGTCCGCTTTCGCCTCGAGCGCTTGTTGCTGCGACAGATGCTTGCCATCCTTGAGCACGACGACCTGGGCACCGCGCAGCTCGTCGTCACTGTCCAGGTCTCCCGTTTCGTCCTCATCGCAGGCCTTGCGTTTGCTCGCGGAGGAGGCGGATGAGACCAACGAATCCAGTTCGTCGTTTGGCCGCTTGCGTGAATACCGATCGCTCTCGGAGACTTGCGCTTTGAGTGCTTTCAGAAAGCTCGGCACCTCGGGCGCCCGGTATTCGAGCGACCGAGATGCCAAGCTGCCCTTGCGTCCCGACATTGTATGGTGCCGCCAAGGAGGTGTGGTCGAGAGTCATGCTGGCTGCCCTCCTTTTGGACCCTGATGTCGGGGCTCTCTGCTTCTAGGCTCAAACAATTTCGAGTAGTGGAGGCATCGATTCGACGCTCAGATCAGCTCGGCGAAAGTAGTGAGCGCGCCCACCCAGCCACGCTCCTACCCAAGCTACCTCATCACCATCACTGTCGATACCATCCTCTCGTCGGCTGCTTTTGGCAAATCACAATCATGGCGGCCTCCGTCGACGTGCTCCTGCTCGGCTCAGGCTGGACCGGCTCCTTCCTCATCCCGCTCCTAAGCGATCAGAATTTGAGCTACGCCTACACCTCCAGATCTCCGCCGGACGAAAAGATGCCCAACGATCCTCATAGGATCCAGTTTGAGCTCACGGATCCCGTCACCAAGCAGTCGCTCCGTCCCCTGCCAAGCGCACGCACCGTCGTCATCATCTTCCCCATCAAGACGCTGGCGCAAGTCGACGACCTCGTGCGAGAGTACGAAGCCATCCATGGCAGTACGCGCTGGATCCAGCTCGGTAGCACCGGAATATGGGGCTCTGGAACACACAACTCTTCGTCGCCCTTCGACACGCAGAATGCACGCGCCGCTGCAGAACAGCGGCTGCTCGACGTCACCGCAAAGGCACGTCATCCACGTGCCGCGGTGCTCAATCTCGCCGGTCTGTACGGCGGTCTGCGCCAGCCAAAGAACTTTGCGTCCAGAGTAGGCGCCACCAAGGACCTGCTTGGTCTGAAGGGATCCGTGCATTTCGTCCATGGCCTCGACGTCGCCCGCGCCATCCTTCTCCTCCATCAAAGCGCCCGCTCCGGCTGGGGTCGTCGATGGATCCTCTCCGACACTCGTGTCTACGACTGGTGGCAGCTCTTCAGCTACCTCCGCCCCAACATCCCGGACCATCCAGACGACAGCCCAGAGACTGCTCAGCGCTGGGTTCGCGAGCTGCAACACGAGAACCACATCCGCACCTTGCCTCGTCCCATTGCCTCGGAGCCGGACCAAAAGCTTCCCCACTATCTCGAGCGCGCCCTCGACGGCCACGAATTCTGGCACCTCTTCAACGAATCGCCCCAAGTCGACTCGGTCTACCACGGTGGCGAACACGGCCTGCGACTCGAAGGCAGCCCTGGGCGTGATGAGAAGCACCGGATGTCGCAGGACGATTCCGGGACTCACAGCGTCGGCTCAAGCACCAAGTCGTTCGTCGTTCGCCCCTTCGATCCCACGATCCCGGAGGACAAGCTGCGGGACCTGATTGAACGTATCGAGGTTGATGCGAAGCGTCCTCTTCCAACAAAGGCCAGCTTCGAGGGTAGCTACGAAAGCCTCGGACTCACTCATGAACGCTTCTGCAAACTGCGCGACGCTTGGATTCCCTTCCTCCGCTCGGAGCCCACCACCAACTCTGACGCCAGCGAATCCGACGACTCGACCAGCATCAGCCGACGAGCAGGGCCAGACCACGACACATGGGCAGCCGAGCAGGCACGCCTCTCCTCCTTTTCGCACTACAAGGTGCTCATCGAGGATGTCGACCTGCACTTCATCCACGAACGCGCAAATCCTCCAGCATCCGGTACCAACATCAAGGTGATCCCGCTCTTGCTGCTTCATGGCTGGCCAGGATCGGTCCATGAGTTTCTCGACCTCATCAAGCCGCTCGCTCACCCGGGAAACCTCACTCCCGTCCATTTCGACGTTGTTGTCCCCTCCCATCCCGGCTACATCTTCTCGAGTTCCGCCGCAGGTTTGGCAAGGGACCCACGCACAGGTCATGTCGTTGGCATGCACTCGGGACCGGGTGGCGATCTGCTCGTCAAGGACGTCGCACGCATCATGCACAATCTCATGCAGCGCCTTGGCTACCGCAATTACGCCGTCCAGGCGGGCGACTGGGGCTCCGGAGTGCTCCGAAGCATGGCCCTGCAGTTTCCCAACCACGTTCGCGCGGTCCACCTCAACTTCTGTCCGTCGCTGGCGCCTTCGCTCGTCTTGCCCATCGTTGGGCGTCAGGGAACGCCTAGTTGGGTCTTGCGTCTGCCTCAGCTCATCTCCAAGCAGCGCTATTCGCAAAGAGCACTAGGTCTGTTTGCCGGCTGGAGCCAGGGCGCACGCTCGAGTGATCTGTGCGGAGCCGGGGGCTTGGTTGGCAAGGCAGCCGAATTTCTAGCCGAATCCGCATGGAGAGGACTTGCGCTGATCAGTCTTGGCTCCTTGCCCTCGCCGCTGTCGCAAGAGGAGCGCGAGGGGCTGGAAAGAGGCATGGAGTTCGCTGCCACGGGAAGTGCCTATGCGGCCATGCACGGCACGCGGCCCTCGACATTAGGCTTGGCACTCAGTCGATCGCCTCTAGCTACGCTCGCATGGATCGGAGAAAAGATGTACGCCTGGACCGATGCGGACCCGGACCCCTCGACGATCCTGGCCAACCTTACGCTATACGAGACAACCGAAACGATCGCAGGCTCGTTCTATTCGTATCGCAATCGCGATGCCGGAGGGATTGCAGCCATCGTCAGCGATCCGCACAACTACATCGCCCAGCCCACTGGGTACTCGAGCTTCCCGCTCGAGATCATTCAGGTGCCCGAGTCGTTTGTCAAGGCCAGCGTCAACCTGCGCTGGTTCCGAAAACACTTGGAGGGCGGACACTTTGCGGCTCTCGAGCAACCCGCAGCACTCGTCGAGGATATCACGGATTGCTTTGCCGAAATCTGGCCGCTCTGAAATGCGAAGCGCCTTTCTCAAGGCGAGCAGGCTCAGATTCGCATCCGGTGCCGCACAGGCGGATGCTCTCCTCATCCAGCCGCACCTCGCCTCGTCCCCCGGCAGCATCGGAGAACAAACGCTCGCCAGCCTCCTCGAATCGCTCAGCTCGCCCGTCTTCGTTCTATCAAGCTCGGATGCGCTGCTCCTTCCGACCTACCTCCGAGCGCGCTGCTGTGAACGCCGAGTTTGAGGCAGTTGCACCAAATGAAGTTGCCACACATTGCTTTGCGGGTTGACCGACTTTGTAATCAACTTGCTATGACAGTCGGAAGAAGTGCCGTGTTGAAATTTGGATGAGGTGTCTGATTGGTCAGAACGTATGCGTAGCGGCCTCATCTGAGATGCGCAATCCAGACTGTCGATATTCGAGTTGGTCAGACCTGCGACTCGGACCGTATGAAGGATCTCATTATACCCCTATGAGGCCGGGATCGTCGGAACATGTTGCGATATGATATGATACCATGCAGACGTTCAAACAAGGCAAGTCGTCCCGCTCATTCGCTGTCCCACGGTACCTTATGAAACGGAAGCACTGCACCCCACGCCTCGCAACCCTACTCTTTTCTACGCAACGATCGACAGACACTTGATGATTCACACGCTCGACTTGTCGTTCCGTCTTTTGCGAGGCTAGAGATGCTCAAGATTTGACTCGACGTGATCTCATTCGCGCGCCTTGCGGCCTTCTCACGCTCGATGGATACGGTCACCTCCCAAATGTTCCTGCGTCAGAAGGCATATATATCGCAACGCTTTCGTGTCTTCTCAGCTTTTCACTCCACGCCCCACGGTCTCAACAAGGTGATCGCCACTCCTTCTTCCATAGCTCTTGCTTACTTGCTCCCTTACCGACTCGGAAGTCCCTTCTGAAACAACATTTTGACCAGCATGAGGGTGCTCTTCGCAGCACTTGTGCTGGCGTTCATCTTGGGAACCACTTGCGCACAGGAGTCGGTGAGCGACAAGCAAGTTTCGGACGGCTACGATACGATCCACCAGTTGGGCAAGAAGCACGATCTGTCCGCCATCCGCGTCAAGAAGGATGGCACTTACGAGGGCAAGAGGCGTGGCGACGGTCAAGTCATGCAGGTCGACATTCCGCTCGACCCGCACGTGCTCGCCGAGATCAAACGACGCGACGCGCGCCGTATCGAGGATCAGTCGAAGCTCCAGGCTAATCTGCTCCAACCTCCCAGCAAGGACTATTTGATCGCCGTCTGCATCCCCACCATATGCCAGTTCGAAAGCGACATTTGCAGCAGGCTCATGTATTGCAGTACGTGTTGGGGAAGCAGCCCGACCAATCCTGGCACTTGCGTCTAGATTAGAGCAACAACCGCGGCTCCTCGCCTAGACCCCGCTATGCAGATCTTGACCCAACGACTGGTGCGTTGGGTCCAATTCCCTCCTGAGAGACTTTCCCCTGTTCTAACCGCTGTGAATCAAGTCGCGCACGAAGAATTGATGCTACAGGTCTTGTTCATTGGCACTGTGCCGGATACACCTATGAACCTGACTTGAAGCTCGAGCTACATCAAACGTATGGGCAACGATCGAAGCTTCAGAGGACCAGTCGTCCAGCAAGAGCCTGTGAGAGTGAGTGCGAATCTGGCCTCATTGTCCCGCCAATGACAAGGTACAAGACCAATTTCCGCATGGTCAGATTGCAGGTGCGCGTCGATACTTGGATTCGTATGATCATGGATCGCCGAGCTCCCTCCATGGACTGGGACGAGCTTGAAAGAGCGATGAGGACGGAAATGTGCTACCTTCTTGACGGGGTGGTGCGGTCCAGCATCTTCAGGGTGCCTTGCGTCAAGTTCGATGACCAATTCTTGCTTCGCATGCTCCCTTCGTACGGCGGCTGCTGCCTCGAGCGAATCTCCGAGTTCTACGACAGGATGGACGCCGACTACAACGCCCGGCATTGAAGCATGCATCCATCACACGCCTCCTCCTTGTACCCAGTGCATCAATTCGTCTCACTCATCGAACTCATCAAAGCATGCGGCCTGGTTTGCGACTGCCTCTTCATTGCACTCTGCGAACGACTAGGCAGCCATCATGGGGTCATCGAGCTCCTCGATGTGCGCCAGATCGTCGCCGCCTCCGAATTCGGCGTCAAAGTCATCGTCGTCGTCGTCCTTTTTGGTCGCTGCTGGTTCCATGTCGCTATCGCTATCGTCGCGATCGACGACTTCGCCGTTGGCATCCACCTTGAGTTGTCCGCCCATGAGCTTGGCGAAGGTCTCCCTTTCCTTGGCCTGCCGTGTTTCGATGTCGGCCAGCTCCCAGAGACTGACGCCGTTCTTGCCCTCTGGGTACGGCTGGGCCATGGAGCGGATGAACAGCTTGGACTCGACGATCGCCATGTCGGTGGAAAGGTTGCTGTGCGTTTCCTTGATGTACTGCGCGATCCACTTGGGCAGCTTGTTGCGCTTATCCGCACGCGCGAATCGCTTGTCGGCAAACACCATCAACCCGTAGTCCGTCTTACCGCGCAACACTCTTCCGACGCATTGCGCTGCGTGTCGCATCGCGTCAAAGGTGAGGAAGTCGTTCTCGCGGATGCGGAAGTTGTCGCGCAGGAACTCGAGCCTCGCCTTCAGGATTCGCGACTCGGTGTACTGGTACGGCACGCCAAACATGATGACCGCGCGCCCATAGTTGTGGTCGAAATCGATCCCCTCGGACACTTTACCTCGGGCTACGGAGAGCAGGATCGCCCCCCGCCCGTTGTCGCAAGCACGCCGGTAGTTTTCGAGCGCGATGCTCGTTTCGGGAGCATCGGGCGTCTCGATAAAGATGAGCTTGTACTTCCACACCTCGTCCAAGATGCCCATGTCGTGCCAGGCAGCCACGATACTCTCCATGTACAGATAGGACGGGAAGAAGGCGACGATGCCATCCGGTACGCACTTGGCATACTCGATCAGGATGCTGCCGTAGTTGCGCACCACCGCCGGATCGTTGCGCACTTCGAAGCGCGAACTGATTGCCACCTGGTCGCTGCCGCGCGTGATGACGAGCGGCAAGAAACACTGGCGTGTGAGCGTCATGGCATAGCTCTCCTGCACGATGGCGTCGAACTTGAGCATCTTGGGGTACATGTCGAGCGGACTGATGGTTCCCGACGTGATAATGACGCTCGAAAAGCGCTCAAACACGGGCGCGATCGCCAGACTCGCGTCGAGACAGGTAAAGTGGAAGATGGGATTGGGCACCGTCGCGTTCTCGGTCTCGAACGGTTCGAGGATGAGCAGGAAGCCCTTGTCGTAGGTGGCGACGAGCGTGGCAAACGCAGCCACCTTTTGCAGCGCCGAGTACTCGTCCAGCCGTGTCAGCTCGAGCGTGCCGACGAGCATGCGCAGCCGCTCGGCGCAGAAGCGCAGCGGTTTCCGCTCGATATAGGTGATGTCCTTGAGATGCTGCAGGAAGCTGGCGGGCGTCTCGGCGACGACGTGGAGCACGCGCATGCGCGTCTTTAGATACTCGACGAAGCGCTTGAGGAAGGCGACAAAGTGTTCGGCCCGCCGAATGTTGCCCGGCACCGCCTCCTGCAGCAGATCGTCCGGAAGTACGGGGTTGGCCATGAAAGATTCGGCCTCGCGCTGTTCGCCTTGCTCCTGGAGGCCTTCGACGAGACGAGCGTATTCGTCTTGCAATTTGGAGGCGTCGGTGCGTTTAATCTCGTCGACGCGCTCCGAGAGCTGGTTGATGCTGCGGTAGGCGCTGTCGAGCATGGGCCGTGTGAGGTCGATGGAGAGCGACTCGATGCAGACGTTGTCGATGTTGTGCGCCTCGTCGAAGACGACGATGGCGTCCTTGCTCATCTCCTTGCTCACCTGCTCGGCGATTTTGGGATCGAGGAGGTAGTGGAAGCTGTAGACGATGATGTCGACAAAGGGGATCATGCGTCGGATGGCAAAGTAGGGGCAGATGCCCTTGACGCGCGCGTACTCCTTGACCTCTTCGAGCGTCCAGACGCCCTGTGGGATGAGCTGGCCGGGCTCCATCTTGCCGAGCTCCTCGTGGAAGTCGCAGAGCTGGACGCTGCCTGGATCCTGGCGGCCCTTTTCGCACGCCCAGCTGCTGGTCATGTCGCGGCAGCGCGCATCGACGACCTTGCCCTTGCGCTCCCTGCCGACGTCCGGGTGGATGCACAAATTCTTGCGCGAACTGAGGCCGAGCGCGAGGATGTCCTCCATCTGGCCGCCCGCCTTGCCGCGACCCTTCATCTCGATGTCGTCGTCTGCGGGGCCATTGGTGCCGTCGGCATCGCTCTTTGCGACGTGCGACTCTTCGCCTTCGGGCACGTTGTAGCGAGCTCGATACTCCATGAGGCGCTTGAGCTCGGCGAGCGCCTTTTCGATCTCGGGTACGGTGCGCGAGCAGTAGATGAGCTTGCGCTTGGCAGGATGGAAGAGCTGGTAGCTGACGATGAGGCTGAAGAGGGAGACGGTCTTTCCGGTGCCCGAAGGCATCTCGAGGACGCAGTGGCCATTGGCGTCGAGCGTCCTCTTGAGATCAGTCATGTAGGCATACTGTTCGGGATAGATCTTTGGGTATGGAAAGAGCACGGGGAGCTCGTCGATGTAGAACTTCATGGTGGCATGCGCCTAGCCAAGCTGGTCGCTCGCCCAGCCCGCGTATCTGCGCTGTGCGTGCTTGCGGGTCAAGGCTCGAGGAGGAGATGCGGATCGAGAGGTTGTGGTGGAGAGCCGAGAGGGTAAGAGTGTGACAGCGCTCGCTTGGGCGGCTCAGTCGGTGCATGTGGAGGCGCGCAGATCTTGGCGCCGATGCTTCAGATCTGTCCGATTCAGAAAATCCACAAAGCTGTCATACTTTTTTGAATCTTACATGGGCCACAGGGTGAAAAATCGGGCATCGGGAGAAATCGATCATCTCGGCGCAGCCACACTTTTGCGGGCCACTGTCGGGCCCGAACAAATTTTTGGGAAATCTGGAAGATTTGCAAAAGGGATGACGCGCGGGGTTTGCAAGGAGAGAGGCGAGGAAGGACGGCCGATCGGGCGCCGCCGAGCCTCGCACAGAGGGAGGCGTTGATGTTGAAAGTTCGAATTTTTTTCAGCCCGCTTTGCCACTCTTGTGGAACGTGGTACAGCGCGCGAATGCTCAGACGCAGCACGGGAGCAGTGTCGCCGGCTGAGAACGCATTGCCAGCGGCCTCTGCCCTCTCGTCCTACCCGCACGATTTTTTCTTCTCCTCGTCTGGTCGGCACAGAAAGCCTCAGAAAACACCTACGCCCGATAGCGCGTGTTGGACTCTGCGCTCGGCGGCGCAAGAGGCTCAGCGGCGAGGGCGGTGAGTGAGTGAGTGAGTGGGTCGAGCGCCTGCTGAGCTGTCCATTCCGTCTTCGTTGCTCAGCAGCTCCGCCGCCTCCGCCGCCCGCAAAAATTTTCCCTCATATACGGCCTCAGATGTTGGTCCGATCACATCTTCGTTCCGATCCATCATCATCATCCATTCCCTCCCCCTCCGCCCCCCTTTGGCGACCATCATCCTTCGTACAGAGCTATCGCTAGCACTGTTCACATCACCTTGCTCAAAGAGCGATCCACACGCTCTTTCCTCTTTTCTTCTGTGAAGAAAGCAAAAAAGTCGTTCACCGACTCGATTCCCTAATCTCGGTCTCCGTACTTGCGCAACTCGCCCTTTCAGCGACGTTTCGTAGTCTGTTGACCTTTACATCTCTTTTCGTCTCACCGATCTGTAAGTGTTGCGCGCTCGAGTCCACCACACTCTCGCTTCTTTTTCAACACAGCATTCTGACCGCAGAGTCACGTCCGTCTCATAACACATCGCAGAAAGAAAAATCTCAGACATCATGGCTCCCGCACCGACCGCTGCTGGTGTTCCCGCCACCGTCCCCGCCAAGTCTGTCAAGGGCTCGGCTGGCGCTGCTGCCAAGAGCGGCGCCGCCGCCGAGAAGAAGGAGGCCAGCGCCGAGAACGACGCCCTCCTCTCCGGCGACAAGGACGCCGCCCAGGAGCTCACCAACCTCGTCAAGATCGAGGGCCCCGCTGCTCTGGCCAACCTCGGCATCGAGGCCGTCATCCTCAAGGGTCTCGGCGACAAGAAGAACGCCGCCGGCCGCGAGGGCGCCTGCGCTCTCCTCTCCAACCTCTGCGAGCAGGGCGTCGGCCACGAGGTCGAGCCTTTCCTCTTCGAGAAGGTCCTCAACCCCCTCGTCGAGGCCATGGGTGACAAGGAGAAGGCCGTCCAGAAGGCCGCTCTCGAAGCTCTTAAGGCCTTTGTCCAGGTCATGTCGCCCTGGGCTACCCCCCAGCTCCTCAAGGTCCTCCTCGAGCAGGCCCGCTCCGCCGGCAAGTGGCAGGTCAAGATCGGCTGCATCACCCTGCTCGAGGAGCTCGTCACTGTCAGCTCCGAGCGCATGGCCGCCCTCATGCCCGAGATCATCCCCGTCATGACCGAGGTCATCTGGGACACCAAGTCCGACGTCCAGAAGGCTTCGCGCGCCGCCCTCACCAAGCTCTGCGTGCTCATCTCCAACAAGGACATTGAGCGCTTCATCCCCGCCCTCATCAACTCGCTCATCCACCCCGTCGAGGAGGTGCCCAAGACCATCCAGCTCCTCTCGGCCACCACCTTCGTCCAGGAGGTCGACAGCGCCACCCTCGCCCTCATGGTGCCCCTGCTCTCGCGTGGTCTCAACGAGCGCCCCACCGCCACCAAGCGTAAGGTCGCCGTCATTATCGACAACATGACCAAGCTCGTCGACAACGAGCGCACCGTCCGCCCCTTCCTCGGCAAGCTCCTCCCCGGCTTGATCAAGATCGAGTCCACCCTCGCCGACCCCGAGGCCCGTGGTGTCGTCCAGCGCGCCATCAAGACGCTCCGCGAGGTCGGCAACGTCACCGGCGACGGCTCCGACGTCAAGCCCCTCGA